ACTGAGATATGGCAACTGAAACTTCACATTTTAGTTTGACCTCAAAGGTCATCAAAGGTCACTAATGCAACACAAAAAGAAAATATCAAAAATGATTGCACGCTGACCAGAATGATACCAGCAACAGGAGCAAAAAATCCCGGCGCTTTTCACCAAATGTTACAATATCGACATTGTAATGATCGCTAGTAAAGCATTTAACCGTAACCACGTGATGGAGCACATCGATCTGGATGAAAAGGAGCGTTCAATGACCCCTCTACCCGACTCTCGAAACAAAAAGTTTGCCTTCGTTGCGATTTACTATCAGCGTAAAATAAGCATAATTCTAGGTAAATACGCAAATTTCAATCTCAATTCGCGACCCCTAAACCACCTTTGATTTCAATATTTTTGGCACCATTGGAATCAGGAGCCGCGAAATAATGGGAAAAACCACCCCCACCCACAAATTTCCAAAATCGGGAAAAATGGGTACCCCTATTGTACAGGTAGCTCGCAAACCATGCAGACGAAACACCATACCACTCCAGCTTATTCAGCAGGAGGGCGTGGTTCACACTGTCAAACGCCTTACTGAGGTGTCAAACGCCTTACTGAAGCGGAGCGGAACGCAGCTGGCCATTCCTCCAGTGTGGCCACCGACCAGCAACTACCGGGCCTCGGACCGCGTGTCCACCCAGTACCGACCGCAAGGACTGTCAGCTGTGTGTTTCTTGGCTGCAATGCTTACTAACTTCCCATGGATTTGGACCGACGTAATTTGATGCTAATTAAACATTCTTCAAAATTGTTGACAATTTCCTTCGAATAATGTTTATTTTCAGAACATTGTTAAAAAACAACAGCATAGCGAAATAGGAACCGAACGCTGTCGCAAATAACGACATGAATGTCATGCGGCACGATTACTGATCTCAGGCAGCTTTTGCCAAATTGTCAGGGAACTCAGATTTGTTTTTCAATAGAAAAACACAATTCTAAAGAATAGTGTTTTAACTATTGACAACAAACCTTCGGTTATGATTAGGTAGGTATGCCTAGTTATAGAAGACAATAATTTAACTAATATTTAATGATTGAGTTTCATTTAATTAATATTCATTTTATAATTTATTTAATAATTAAACTAACTAATAATTAATAATATTTCCAATTACAGGTATGTATACCATTAACTTGTGTGAAGTCTTAGGGAAGAACAGACGAACAAGAGGTGTCATTTCTAAGAACGGAAGGAGCCGCAATATAAGTATCTTGTCCACATTGACAACACAATGCCACCTTTTCCTTCCAAGAACCGGAGCGAAGCATCTTGACGATGATAGTCAGCAAGGACTTCCGTCTGACTTCGGGCGGAGCAGCAGACCGAGAAAATAATTCACTCTTCACACCTGTGGCCCTGCACGGGATCTGATTCCCGCAGCGGCATGAATATTCTACTCACCACGGTGCAGCCAAGACAACGTTACGTGCAAGGTGCAGACGGCAGTGGGCAGTATCGGGAAGTGGTTGGGAGCGTTCTTTGGGTATAGTTTGCGGTATTTAACCTTCGCCCCAGTGGGGGGGGGGGGCATATGTTACCACCCTGTCGCAATTTTTGCGTATAAATAAAAAACCACGGCCCGTAGCGCCGCGCCGCTTGGCATAGCTTTTTGTACATCAATTTTGGACAATGTGTGAAATTTTTGACCCCAGGTCATGTCAGGTCAGGTCACCAGGTCAAGTTAACTGACCAGGCCTAAAAAAAGTTTGCAAACATGTCCAGCCTGCAGTGTTCGTCAGAAAGGTTTTAAACTTGGTGGACTGCATGATGTTATGGGCGCCTACAAGTTGTATATCTCGGATTTTTTATATCCGTGACCTAAGGTCAGGTCAGTGGCGTGACCTTACCATTATAAGTCAATGGAGAAAAATGAAAATGCCTCTAGATCCGTGTGTACGCATAGGAACAGTCCAAATATTTCAGAATCACAATGATTTGGACCACCCGTGACGGCCAAGGTCTCTTTTTTGCTGATAGCCTCTAGAAAGGTCATCCGAGGTCATTTGAGGCTACAAACATATTTTTGCCAATAACTCTCGATTGGAAAGAGATAGGACGCTGGGGATGGCCTCATTGTGTTTGTCTTGTTGAGACGCATCGACTGATATGCGACATGACCTTTCCCGGTCAGGTCATGACCTTGACCTGAGGTCAAATTTTCAAGTTGACCTTTCAAGGTCAAATTATAGTTCATTCGACGCGTGTCGTCGAGAGGAACACGATTCTGGCAATATAAATGTCGTGGCTTTTTCTAGTCAAAAGTTATTGTCGAAAAACACTTTGCGAAAAACAGCTATTTTTGGAGTTTATGCCCTCTGGAGGCTAAACCGTTGACCTGAGGTCAATTTCGATGATAACCTTATCGAAAGAAGAGTTCAAAAGCTATCGATTGCTTTTCCATGCGTTTTTCTAGCTATCATAGTTTCTGAGATAAGTGCATGTTTTCTGAAAAATATAATGACATTTGGCAAATTTTGACCTTTGATGACCTCCAGTGACCTCAATATTGCTCCAAGATGAAAAATGACCGAAATACTTTCAAACATACGCATTGAGAGCTATCGACTGCTTTTACCGCGTCTTTCTAGCCCTCTTAGTTTTTGAGTTAGAGGTGGGTGGTAACATATGCCCCCCCCCCCCCCACTAGGGCGAAGTTGGCTGAGACCGCCACTGGGGCGCGGGTTAAATCGAGTGAATTGTAAAACCATGCTTCGTTCACGCCAAGGCAAGGGTTGGTTCCCTCCATTATGGATGCATGAAGCACTGGACAGTGGACAATGCTGTTCCTAGCTGTTTGGAAGCAAATAATTTGAAATGCCGTTGCGACATCACCATTAGCCAAACGACGGTTGATTTGTAGTACTGACTGCTTAACCCTAAGTGTAAGTAGGCACCAGACATGTGCATGGATCCGAGAAAATGGATCTAGGATCTGCTCCCACGGATCCTGATCTCGGATCCGTCGGGATCATGATCAAGCTCCTTAATTTATTGAGAGATCGATAGGGATTATAGATCCGTAGATCCGAGTCTAGTATTTTTGCTTAAGATCCAGTGGGATCATAGATCCTCATTTATTTTTGGTCAACACAGAAATCCCAAAAGTGCAATCGTTGCAACTCACAAACATACTTACTTAAAGATTTTATGTGATAACACGTCATAATCCATAGTTTCATGGCACTTATTGACATAGAAAAACTTGGAAACCTGGTTTCAAATGTTGTGCATGGTAGGATCCACTATCCACTAGATCATAGATCCATGTTCTTGGTTTATCGTCAGATCCTGTGAGATCATAGATCCAGGATAAATTTTTCACGCCGGATTCGGTGGGATCATAGATCCGAACCTGCAATTTGCCTTGAGATCCACTGAGAGTCTGTGACTGAGATCATAGATCCATCACTCGGATCCATGCACATGTCTGGTAGGCACTGTAGGTACACTGAATGCATGTATTGTATATTATAGTTTGAACATATGGTGAAGAGCGATTATATCAATAACGTTCAAAAGGAAACTGATCTCAATTGGATAATTTGTAGATCCATTCATGTCGTCTCGTTCTTGACGCTGAATCATGCTGTAAAAAAACTGGCAATTTGAGTTTGGGGATGTCACGCGGTCTTCAAGAAGATAAAATAAACTATGAAAGGCCACTATGACTCCCAAAAAAGCTCTTTTTCTCACTGAAAAGTAAAAAACAATCTTACTACTGTCGCATCAGGAGATCCAGAAATATACTCAGTTTTACAACGTAAATAACACAGTACAAATCAACCAACCATGATCAACCATGACACCTAAATAAAGAATGATACTTCGACACCGTATGCATAAATGTACACTGAACATTCGTACACATCAATGGAAACGTAATTGTCATTCAGACTTCAGGCCTTCAGGGTCCTCTCAGGCGAATGGCTGGCATTCAAGTGGCCACATTTCCTTGACATCCGTGACACTCATTCACACATATGGCTTTGCAATGCTGATTGAAAGAGCCCACTTGCCTCCGAAACCACTTCCATTTGGCACTATTTGATCATATAAAATATTTGATAGTTACATTAGCCGTTTATCTAGCGGCTATGCAACATTCCCTTTGAAGCAGAATTCGTGCATGTGCCTATAGCTATGAATTTAAGCTTCCTCAATAGCGCAATTGATGCTAAAATAGTCACTGAAATTGCCGGCTAAATAGCCGCTGTCAGTTGCCTGAAAAGCTGGTGACCTCGCTATTTCAAGGGCACTCAAGTGAAATAAATAGAGAAGATAGAATTCATCACACTATCATGCATGAGCTATCGCTGAAGGTCCGACAACCAAGGCAGCCCTTGCTTCATTGTGCGGAGTTGTATTTACGGAACAGCTTGAGACTTTCATGAGCGGGTATTCAAGCACGGCCCCGTAGTAACTCCTTTGCGAATAACGCGAAACGGCATGGGGTTAATAATATCAAGCATATACCTATATTTACGACTGCTTTAGCTCTCTAATCATCTCACCTCAGACCTGGCACACAGCTCTCATCAATAACACGCTCTCATCTAAACACCATGCAACCATCATCTTTCCGGCACCATCGTCCCCTGGAGCAACACCCCATCGCATGCACGGTAGCAGCACGTGTTTGGCACCGCCGCGGGCGCCTCGAGTGCCCACTCCAGGTGCGCCGCAAACCGTCGTCCGTCCGTCCAGGTGACTGTCCCACGGCGGATCCCATGAAAACCACGGTGCCCGGCCGGCCGTCGCGCCGGCCGCTATGAGTCGTTCACAGGGATACGCCCCAGTTTACGCAAGGCAAGGCCGCGCGCTACGCTCACTTGGCCCCACTAATGGCGGCCGTCTGAGCAACGTTGCGAAGTTTGGGGGAAAATCGTCGCCCCCGGTCGGTCGGGGTTCCATGGGAATGGCGGTATATAACTGGTGGGTGCCGACTGGAGGGCATCAGTGGACTGTGAGTGAGGTGGTACAGCAGCACATACCTACTCCTCAGCGGCACACAGGAGCCGCCAATATGAAGGTACGGCACAGTGGAGACAGGTGATTTGATTTTAATGGCGTTTGAATACCCCGCATCATCAAACAGACCAAATATCCATTATTCAATCATCATTTCACCAAGTATCCAATCAACAATCGAATAAATAAACAAATCAATCAATCAATCAGTCAGAGTTCGGTAACATATAAATTTATGATCCATCAATCTAGCAGCAAATTAATTAGGTAATTGTTCAATTAGCAGACAAACAACAAAGGAGCTCATCACCATTGTAAAGCAAATGTGTCTGCAGTTCCCAATGTTGCTCGATGGTTGACGTAAATAAATGCAGACGTTGCTTCATTTGCATTGGTCGCACAATATCTATAAACTTTTTACTTTGAACAACAATCAAAACACTTGTTAACAATTACAACACCTAGATCTTGTATATGTTAGCCATCGGTTCAGACTGCACGGCGGAAACAATCCCTAATAATTGGGCTTCTTTCCCTTTTGATTCTAAGCAAATAAAAGAAAATGATGAAAAAACTTGATAAACGAGACATGATTCATTTTGTGGTAATCATTGTATAATTTTTCTCTCCGCAAATATCTTACTGGCCATGCTATAGCATTATTGCTTTTAAGGATTTTGTGGTTCCCTGTTCACTATTCTTTCCTTTCCGATGGTATTGCATTGCAATACACACCTAACTAATGGCTACTTTGTATCATATCATATGCTAGGCCAAAAAAGACGTTAGTCTAAACTCGCGTCGCACAAAAATATTGAGTGGCTTCATTCAGTTTGTCGTTACCTTTCGGACGATGTTATGGTAATCATTAAAGACCAAACTAAGCCAAAATAAAATGCCGAAAAGACATAAAACGGAATGTAAAATGCCAACAAGACATTCAATGTGATGAGTAACGCAAAATGTAGAAACGTGGTAGGCGTTCACCCTTCACATTGCGCTATATAGGTAGGGAGGTGTGCCTGAAGAAATGAGCTCATTTTCACACGGGTAAACTGCAGGAGTATTGCGACAAACGAGAAAATACCTACAAGGGTTACCACGGTTAAACACATACGCAAGCATTAACGACCATGACCGAACGGCGACACCCAAATGTACCAATAAACATTAACCCGTCTTATTGCGTCGTGGATGACAATGGCTAACATTAAATGTGACACTTTTTCCCACAGGTCTTTATCGTTTTGGCTGTGGCGGCGGTGGCATCCGCCCAGTACTACGCCTCATCACCTGCGCCGGCCAACCGATACGCCCCCACCGCCGCCCCCGCCCCCGCCCCGGCTCCGTCCAACCGCTACGGCGCGCGTGCCGCCCCCGCCCCCGCCAACCGCTACGCACCCACCGCCGCCCCCGCTCCTGCCCCCGCTAACCGCTATGCGCCTACCGCCGCCCCCGCTAACCGCTATGCACCTACAGCCGCCCCCGCCCCCGCCAACCGCTACAGCCCGGCCCCTGCCTCCGCTGCCCCGGCCGCCGAAAACCGCTACAGCCCGGCTCCGACTCCTGCCCCAGCCGGCGGCTACAGCCCGGCTCCGGCTCCTGCCCCAGCCGGCGGCTACAGCGCCGAGGAGGTCAGATTACTTTTTATATCAAACGACAAACGCCATTGTCCTTCAGGAATAATATGCGAAAAACGACCAATTCAACTACCGTTATGCAGTAAAAAAAAAATCACATTGCTGTAAATATTGAGAAAAACAATTACCGCATTCATATTTTTTCATACTGATTCACAACATACATAGCGGACTCATGCACATAGGACGACTTCCCGGTGATTAAAGAATCCCTCGTTTAAATCTCGCATATCATCTTTTCTTACTACCGTCGTATCTCCAATCTCGCAGTCTTCCCGCCTCACGTAACTTGTCACTTCCGCGTCTCATCTCTCATCTCCACCACCCACTTCCGCGTCTCATTTCGTGTCTCTTCCTCCGGCAGAGCGGCCCGGTCAAGTACTCGTTCGACTGGTCGGTGAACGAGGACGAGAACCAGTACAGCCACCGTGAGAGTCGGGACGGAGACAACACCGAGGGCTCCTACTCAGTGGCGCTGCCGGACGGCCGCGTACAGACCGTCACCTACACGGTCAACGGAGACGGCGGCTTCGTGGCCACCGTGACCTACGAGGGCGAGGCCCAGTACCCGGCGGCTCCCGAGGGAGGATACCAGCGCGCTCAGCCGGCCGCCGCGGCGCCGGCGCCCCAGTACGCCCCCAGCACCACCGCCAAGCCCCAGCGCACCTACGCTCCGCGCGCGCCAGCCCCCGCCACCGCGAAACCGCAGCCCAGCTATGCGCCGCGCACCACCGCCGCCCCGCAGCGCAGCTACTCGCCGCAGCCGACGTCAGCCGCGCCGGCCAGCTACCCCCAGCAGGGCGGCTACCAGCGGCCGCAGACCTACTCGCCGCGCCCCCAGCCGGCCGCCCCGCGCGGCTACAGCGCCCCTAGCGGCGGCTACTCGCAGCAGCCGACCGCAGCGCCATCTACCGCCGCGCCGGCGCTGCCCTCTGACGAGTACGGCGCACCGCCGGCGGCCCCTGCGCGAGCTGCCTACCCAGAGTATAAGACTCCCAGCAACCAGGGGTACCCCGCGTACAAGACGACGGGTGGTCTGAGCCAGGAGTATGGCGCTCCCGTCTCCTACTAGAGAAAAACACCTGAAAGTGGTCTCTCACCCTCTTCCCCTTTGAGACAGCCAGAGTAGCTGCTGGTTTGAGACCGTTCAGGTTGCTGAACGGCCTCCTCAGCCCAAGTAGCAGCACCGTAAAGCTGTCATACTGCTCAAGTCGCCTCCCACAAGAAAAGTGACCGCTGCCCCTCAAATCCCAGACTTAATGTTCAACGCTCACTTAAAATGGTCGCTTGAATTGCTGACATGATCTGTGAAAAGCTTGCCTAGCTCAGAGCAGGCTGTAAGCATCTTCATTGTTTGGTCATTGAAGGATGAAAGTCTTGCAAGGCAGCCCATAGCTCGTCATGCCTGAGAGGTAGTGCGAAGACGTGGACTCTCTCATGTGATAACTGAGGAAACTTCTAACATATTTATTATATTTAAAGTGTGAAAGTGCCGAATGTAGCGCCATGATTGTGCTATTCCCGCCGTGTGCTGACAGGGAGCATCAATTTAATCTACGAGTCTGAGCCAAATCCGTCCAATGTATGTGTCGTCACTGAGTGGCATCGGTGACAAAAGATGTGTGCTTGTATGTATATGTTGTCTAGTCAAAATACACGGTCCGAAACTGGGCGCAATTTTGCCAAATCGTAGCAAGATACTTTTTATGACGCTCTAAGATTTCAAAACGAAATGAAATACATCTGCACTGCGGGAAGACCCGTGAAAAGGGCTAATCACTCGGAACTGACAAAACTTCAGCGCGTAGACGTGAGGCTCATAAGCTCAACAACGATGCATTTCGCCTGCTACCAATGCCCAAATACCGCGCTGAGTAATCGTGCTCACTGCTCAATTAGGTACACATTTGAACAGCACACAACTATCTCCAGAATAATTGCATAATTATCATAATTGTCAGGATGCAGATCATTCACTTACGATAAGCCTATAGAATAAAGGTTTCTTACTTCGTCAATCTAGACTCTATTCACCCACACATTGGCACAAAAAGAAAAGCTTTATTAGCCAGCGATCGATAACCACCCACGAACAAATCCGGCCCTCACCGACCAGTTACCCACGAGTGGAGCTCTCATCTCGCTGGCGAAACTCTGCCGTTTAGAGTCGCTGACCACGCCTTCAGTACGGCGTGGCCGAGCGGCCGAGCGGCAGAAGTGGCTCAGTTCCCACATTATGGCTCATCACTGGAACAAGTCAGTGGACGAGCTGGGTGGGCGGTGGACATACGTGCAGGCCACAAAAGCCAGCAAAACAGGTATCTCACTGCATCGTCGCCCTGGATCTATGAAAATTGTGTGCTCGATAATACATGAAGCAAGTCGCCAGCTAATTAGTACTGATGAGTTGGTAACGTTTGTGATCACATTTGGTTAAATCACAAGCCATTGCATCAGGCAATCGTTCCCCTGTGCAGTAAAACATGGCTGGTGAACTGTTCTAGCGGCCGCTCGACAAGTTTAGGACCACGACGCGTAGATGGCAGCATCAGAACCGATGCCCAGCTAGAGGTGCTAGGACCAGGGATGCGGAGCCGTGGAAATTTCAGACGGCTCCGGCTCCGGCTCGGGAGAAAAAAATCGGCTCCGGCTCCGGCTCCGGCTCCGGGTGAAATGTCATGGCGGCTCCGACTCCGGCTCCGGCTCCGAGTAAAATGATCCGGCTCCGGCGGCTCCGGCTCCGGCTTCTACTCAGTACATCCCCTATGCGATCAATTAAATACGGGTGGAAGAAAAAAGGCGATGGGATTGGTACACGTTGCTTCTGTATTTGTATAACAAGGCTATTTTGAATACCACATTGTTTTACGCCTTGTACTGTCAAACCGGACTAGGTAAATAATTGTTTCCTCTTAAGAAAAGGAGCCGGAGTCGGCAGTCGCCCCCTTTTTTGACGGCTCCGGCTCCGGCTCCGGGCTTTATTGTTTCACGGCTCCGGCTCCGGCTCCGGCTCCGGGCAAAACATGCCGGCTCCGGCGGCTCCGGCTCCGGCTCCGGCTCCGCATCCCTGGCTAGGACTCATCGAAGCACGGCTTCGGATAAGTGCGTGATTCAGGTAAATGCTCCTTACATCAAGTCAAACCAACAACTCAGCTAAAACAAGACAAGGTTCAAATTCTTTCAGAAAATATCCCACACAGCTCGGGAAATTCGAATAACGCCTGAGCTTTTCTCTGAAGATTGAAACAGGCATCCAAAGTGCTGCTATTAACTCTCAACTGCAGTTCCCAGACTGTTAAATGATAGAGAGGCGACCTCAATACTGCACGGTGATGCTACGCTTCACTACGAACTATCTCCGGCTATTGGTCACGCTACGGGGATAAAATACCCACCATTTATGGGTGGGCAATGGCTAACGTGCCTATCGGGACATAAGAACGCAAGGTAAACTGAAAAGGATATGCGAGATTAGTCGAAAGTGGCGATGGCTTGCAGATCAAAAGGCTATGTGGGGCTATGCGACCGTGCGCGGTGCGCACATTAAACTTTGGACTCCAAATTCTGCCATAGAACCGGAATTGCATAGAGGGCAGGGTCAACGCAACAAGCTTCGCTTAGCGGGGGCTCTTTCCTTATGAATCCCTCCATCCTTTAGGTTCGGACTAAACTTATTTTTTTTTAAAAACACCTAATGGATAACTTATCAGAGGGAAATCCTGCAGTAACTTACTCAATTTGCAAAAAAAAAGTATCATTGAGTAAGTTATTCAGATAGTTTTAATAAGTGTAGAGGATCTGGGCTGTTCTTTTCATTGAGGACAAGTATAGGTGGTCCATCACAAAAACTTTGTATCTCTCACTCACCCCAATTCACATACGTTCTACGACACAGCTAACTGAAACAGTTTCCATGCAGTTATAGGAGTAACACGCCTTCTTTACGTGGCACTCTCTTCTTAGTTATCAGTGGGCTTATTACCTGTATCGTTCGACAAATAACCGTGTCAACAAAAGTACAGATTATTCGGCCATTGAAATCTCCAATCAATCAGGAAAAGTTTGCATACGCTATAACAGTCTGTAAGGTCAAGAGGGAAGTAACTTCCAGGAAACGCCTGTTCCGGACCATTTACGGAACAGCTTGTAGTTCAGTCATTCGACGTAATTCGGAGGATTGAGCAACGCTAGCCTGCAAATAACCTATAATTGAGCAGCACCCACAAAGGACAGCTGCAAAGACAATCAGTTCGCATGAATCACAATTTCGGTCAATTGTGTAATATCCGGCGGCGCATACATAAACCCGCCAGTGGTCATTCCGTACTCATTACGGTTTTACGTTACTCACACTACGCCAAGGTCAGGGTGGTTTACCCAAATACCCACAATCATACCTCACCTACTCAGACCCTGAGGGCATAGCGTGGTCCCAGCATTGACCGTGAGTCGCCAAGGGGTATCCTGAGTTCTCCGGTATGGGCCGCCGTGCACAAATTTCTCCCGTGCGAACTCTGTCCGGCGTGAAAACGACGCGGGTCAAGGCGGCAAGCAGACGCCGGCCGGAGGCTCTGTGCGACACTGGACGTCGAGCAGGGAGCTTCTCAGGAACAAGCCGGCCGCAAACGGTGCCAGAAGCGCCACGGGGCGAGGTGTTGTGCTGAGATACACCGTCCCGAAGTTAGTGTCAGATTGTCACAGCCATCCCGTTGACGGTAGAAGTCTATAAGTCAGTGATCCACCCGCCTAAGGACGAAGACGCTCCCACTAAGAAGAGCTAAGAAGGACGTGATGTGAGCAGGACGTGACGTGCGGAAGACGTGACGTGTCATCAGCGGACGTTCCTGCCCTCACTGTAGGACGGCGTGACGGCAGGACAGGGGACCGGTCACGCGATCGTGTTCCTCTGACACCTGAATAGACCGCAGTGCCGGCGGCGGCCGCGAACCCTCAGAATCCGTGACTGTAGCGATGTGGCGTCGGTGGCTGCTGAGTGTGCTGATCTGCGGGATCCTACACTTGGTGCAAACGCGAGGAGGTTCAGCTCAGCTTCAGGTGAGACATCGAGGTGAACAATAAACATTGAACATATTATGTCTATGCAACAGATAATTTAGGCGTCATAGCTTGGCAATGAGTAGTCACTGTGAATAATGCAAGTGTGATGCGTTGAATATTCCAACCATGTCTGGTCCATAAACACCACTTATTTTAGGTTTTTCAATGGTCAAAAACAGAAGATATTCGAAAAGTTTTTGGTTTCGTTAGCCTTTCGAAAACTTTGATATCATTTTTTTTTTTTGCTTCCCTGAAGATTATTTTTAACCCGCGCCCAGATGGGGTCTGCCGAGCAACGCGGTCTGATGGGGGGGGGGGGGCATTTTGCCCCCCCCCCCTCAGATCTCGAGAACCACGTAACATAGCGACAAGCGGTAAACGGTGTTGGATAGCCCCAACGGGGAACTACCTTGTGACCCGATTTCATTGACCTCGGTCAAACCGATGACGTCACAGGTCAGGTCAAAGGTCGAATTTTCACCGTTTACAGGCATTTCAAGAAATGCGTTGTAAAATCGAGTAAAATGCATTTCATTAAAAATCATCGATGGGGAAATGATCTTCAAACACATATTTTGCTATTTGAGGTCACTGATACCAGGTCAGGTCACAGGGGTCAGGTCACTGGGGGGGGGGTCACAATATGAAAGTGTCGTGTGATACATGTTTTATGGTCCATTTTACATGACAAATGCGATTATGTGGATCAGACAGACTTTAGGGCCAGCTTAGGTCACGTTTTGGTCAAGGTCAGGTCAAGGTCAGGTGAAGGTCAGGTCAAATTAGGTCAAATTTCAAAGTTGATATTTTTGCATAAAATGGGTATCGATTCGATGCAGCTCGTCACGGGGAGTTCAATGGTGGTCTCCGTTTTGCGCTACGAGGTCTAGAATTGCTAAAAATTGAGTTCAAAATTTTGACGTCATCAATTTTTAACAGTTTTTTTCGCTATAACTTGGCCAAAAAAAGAGGTATCGATCTAAAATTTGGTATGTATATCGAAGAGCGCAGGGACTATCACATATATTCCGGTTTTTTTTCGAAATTCGAAATTTTTTTGGAAATTTTTTGAGTTTTTCTAAAAAAAATCAATTTTTTTGATTTTTGGGGGTCAAAATCCCAAAATTTCGAAAATCCGAGATAGCAGTTTTGTAGCGCCGTCTTTTCTCTACACAACCACATAAAGAACTTTAAAATTGCTTGTTAACTGTAGAATTGGTGAGCGTTTCAAGATGTCATGTTTTTTGCTCATTTTTACTCGAACATGACCTCAGTTTGACCTCAATAACTCCTGACCTGAGGTGACCTGTGACTTGAAATTTTGTGTGAAGGTGTCAAATTGATGCCCGGTAAGGTACCCAAAATTTGGCGGCGCGCAGCGCCGCCGTTTTTGCGCTATTTAAGAAAAACCACAGGGGGGGGGGCCAAAATGGCCCCCCCCCCATCAGGGCGCGGGTTAAGTTGTTCTTGGCGATCTTAAGTTCAATTTTCAAGTTTGTAAGGTTAACTTGTCGCTTGCAGACTGAAGATCGATTTCATGGCTAACAAAACTAGATAATATCAGATGGTTAAAAAGTATAAATCCATTTCGAATCGAAAATTAAAAACACGCTGTCAAAGTACTTAAATAAAAAAGCAACTTCGCTCTTCCAGGTTGAAGCAGTGCAATGCTAGGCCAGTGCAACACTGAACGATGCAATAAAGCGACTTCAACGCGCAACTTGCTTCCCCTCCTCCGCCTGACGTTGACTTTACCCGTAACCCTAAATGTAATCTTGGAGGTACTAATCTGGAAGGAGCGTATCGTCATGAACTTCTGTTCGTCCCCTCGCCTGTCTCGTTGCGGCTATTGGTCATAGAGTTATTGGATGGGGGCGCTTAACGCCCCTCCTCACTAGATTTAACCCAACACTTCCCTGTTTACTTGATAAAATATATGTCGCAGGCATCAGGTGAAATCTGGCATTTCCTGAAATGTCCAGGCTTTACGTGGAATGCCTGGGCTTTTCATGAAATGCCGGATTTCATCCCATGTTTGGGTTGCATCGTTTGGCGCTGGCTCAGCACCAAACCTAAACAACAACACCTAACCCGACCAAACCTAATGTAACCTAGCCTTATCTAACCAATTTACTTTTCACATAACAGGTACCTAAGGTTATGTCTAATGATTTGCTATGCTAGGTAGGTGCAAGTAGGTTCAAGGTTAGGCATTTCATAAAATGCCGGATTTCAGCCGATGCCAACGACATATACAATTTGAGAAAAACTGCAAACATGAGCAAGAAATGTGTGCAAATCTTATGTAACTACCCAGCCGCTCTAAATCCGATTTCAGGTGGACGGTCGACTACCGAACTACGCCTTCTCATGGGGCTCAATAGATGGCGCTGGGAACGGCTACGGCCAGAGCGAACACAGGGAAGGAGACGTCATCCGCGGCTCCTACCGGGTCACTCTGCCCAACGGTAAAACGCAGGTTAGTAATGGTAAAACACAGGTTAGTGGTGGCAAAACGTAAGCCAGTCTCTGGATAATCGGGAAGTTAGTCAACTGTCGATGTGACACAGCCCCAGTGCGGCTGCGATCATCGTTCGGGACTGGACTGAAATAGGATATTGACATCCAAATAATCATCACCGTTCCGTGCTTCTATCCTCAGGATACAGAAATCCTTCTCCTCCACGCCGCAACCCCACTCCGGGCTGGACAGGCACCTTTATCTCATGCGGGCTGCTCCCTTGGAGCGGCACCGCTGCTCCTGAGGGCATGGGTGGAGAACCTGCCCCGGCCACCCCGGCCGTGGCCGGGGTAACTTTCAGCCTACCCCGGCGCGGCCGGGGTAACTTTTCCACTCTTGTAAATCCTAGAAGCTGTCTCCAAACGAGAAAAGAAAACTCGTTCTTCAAATGTTCACTGCCATGGGCGTAATATTGCAAATCAGGTAACTAACTATTTGCTTAACATACCATAATCTCCAACCCCAGGACCCGCGTGTGGTCGCCAATGCCAAGACTGCTCTCAAATCGGGTTCAGTTTCGAAAATTTGGCGCGTTTTCGGCGCACTTTTTCTGAAACAATGCTTGACCTCGCTGCCTTCGACTGGCCTGCCAGTGCCAAAGACCGCAACCATACCTGTTTATAATAGCGTAGGGGAGAGTGGGGCACATTCGTGCATGGGGCACATTCGTTTTCAGCAGTTTATGGGAACACGAGTGACTGCACGAGCTCAAGGTAAATTATGGAAATATGTCTATCATTGCCGCCCTTCGTTCACCGTAGAAGACAACACTGTACCTGCTGTCATGCTTGATAAAAACGCAAATTTGTAATATTCGTGAGCTTTCCAAACTTTTCTCATATCATCCATTTTCGTGATCCTGACTCGGAAATGTGGTTCAGCTTTTCAAAATTGGGGGTGAAGAAGCTCACTCTATTCACGGAACTGCTGCAAACTTGTTTGTTGAAAAAGTGTCATTTTTTCACAAAGAAATTTTGAAATATATTACTAATAACGTTGTGGGGCAGGTTCGTGTACGCACTGCCTGGGGGCACATTCGTGCATATTTTTTTTTAGTTTTTGCGATTTATGACTTTATCTGTAGTAGGTTTCTCTAATGACGCTCGCCTGACTCAGTCTCGACTGCTTGCGACGTCGTGACGAGCAATTCACGCGAACTTGGCGAGGTCACGGAGGCCGGCAGTTGGCACATTCTTGTTGGCCAGCCCATTCTTTCTACATATGTTGTGCAATGCATTCTTGTCGAAAGGAATCAAGTGAAATGACCCCCTGCCAATTTCCTTTGGTAAATTTCTGGTAATGCCCGGTAATTTCTCGAACTTTGCAGGGTGAACGGAAGTGCCCCACCTCTTGAACGAATGTGCCCCATAGGTGGGGTGCAGTTTCGTGCAAATGTTCAGAGTTATTAAAAGTCATTTTTTCTAATGGAAGCAATAATTTTAGAGGATAACTTTTAAAGAGGAAAACTATCTGCAATAGTTCCTTTCCATACTACAATCAACAATTTTGCCATTGCACTAACCAAAGAACAGATATATGGGTTTATCCATTTTTTGCACGAATGTGCCCCACTCTCCCCTACTCGTCAGGATGCTCATAAACACCGAGCGTCCGTTGCACGCTTCGAAATCGGACTGTTGTAACCGGGACGCGTACTCTTGCCACGCGGAGTCCAACGCTCTACCGACTGAGCTGCGAGACCGGGACCGGTCGATATTCCTGGATCGACTCCCTGTTTGTTTTATAGGAGGTTGAGCTGCCCAACATTGAAGAAGGCTGCGTAAGGGGTTTGCTTATGATGACTGTTGACAACAATGTGAGCATATCGTCTTTCCGACTATTGGTCGCCGGCCGGGGTAACTTTTTCAAACATTCTCCACCCATGCCTGAGGGAGCGCACCCCGTAGCCGGGTGCAGAGAGTGCTTGGGGGGCTGGTCGGCCTGTCCATTCGGACGGGCTCAGCCCCGGCGACTCTCTAGGGTGTCTGCCCAGACCAATGTCTCCCCCTAATTCCTATCATCCTTCCGGCTCTGCAATGGTCTTGTCAGACCGAAAGGGCCTAACCCAACAAAACAAACAAAATCCAAATAAGGTAAGGCTAACTCCATGAGCAGTGGGAATAAGCGTTAGGAATTGTGTCAGCAAACTGCAACAAAATCAAAGGCATCACTGCAAACGGGGATAAGAAGCCACACGGATGATTGAAATACGAGGAAATGCAAAAAAAAAATGTAATAACATTTTATGTAAAAGTATAGTACCAGTATAACGCCTTTTGGGGCGACTAACGGAGCGAGCGAGAGGGTGGGCCTTGCACGTGCGAAATTTCGAGGGGGTACCTCCAACTGACTTGTGCACGGCACCTTACTAACCGGTCTCTAGCGATGTGCCAAATTTGAGCACAATCGGCCCAGCCGTTCTCGAGATCTGGAAGCGGCACCCTGCACGTGCGCACGTGCAAAATGGGTCCCAACTGACTTGTGCACGGCACCCTACTAACTGGTCCTAACCGTGTACCAAATTTGAGCGCCATCGGTCCAGCCGTTCTCGAGATCTGGAAACAACCCCTGCACGTGCGCACGTGCAGCAACACCCCAACTCCGGCACATGGATATGCAGTGCCTAGTGGGTGCCTACCTACATGCCAACTTTCAGCGCAATCGGCCAAGTAGTTACCGAGATATTGCAACAATTACAAAACTGACACCTCTTCCTTTTGCACGTGGCACGTGCATAAGGGGTCTGAAGGAATGAAGCTACCCTACAAAAATTACCGCGTGTAAATCGGTCAAGTGGTTGCTGAGATATAAGCCTTGCAAAAGCGTCCGCACGGCCGGTCGGCCGGCCGGCCGCTCATACTCAGAAATTTCCGTTAACCCGCGCCCTGATGGGGAGGGGCCATTTTGGCCCCCCCAGTGGTTTTTCTTAAATAGCGAGAAAACGGCGGCGCGCAGCGCCGCCAAATTTTGGGTACCTTACCGGGCATCAATTTGACACCTTCACACAAAATTTCAAGTCACAGGTCACTTCAGGTCAGGAGTTATTGAGGTCAAACTGAGGTCATGTTCGAGTAAAAATGAGCAAAAAACATGACATCTTGAAACGCTCACCAATTCTACAGTTAACAAGCAATTTTAAAGTTCTTTATGTGGTTGTGTAGAAAAAAGACGGCGCTACAAAACTGCTATCTCAGATTTTCGAAATTTTTGGATTTTGACCCCCAAAAATAAAAAAAAAATGATTTTTTTAGAAAAACTCAGAAAATTTCCAAAAAAATTTCGAATTTCGACAAAACCGGAATATATGTGATAGTCCCTGCGCTCTTTGATAAACATACCAAATTTGAGATCGATACCTCTTTTTTTGGCCAAGTTATTGCGAAAAAAAACTGTTAAAAATTGATGACGTCAAATTTTTGAACTCAATTTTTAGCAGTTCTAGACCTCGTAGCGCAAAACAGAGACCACCATTGAACTCCCCGTGACGAGCTGCATCGAATCGATACCCATTTTATGCAAAAATATCAACTTTGAAATTTGACCTAATTTGACCTGACCTTGACCCGACCTTGACCAAAACGTGACCTAAGCTGGCCCAAAAGTCTACCTGACCCACATAATCGCATTTGTCATGTAAAATGGACCATAAAACATGTATCACACGACACTTTCATATTGTGACCCCCCAGTGACCTGACCTCTGTGACCTGACCTGGTATCAGTGACCTCAAATAGCAAAATATGTGTTTGAAGAACATTTCCCCATCGATGATTTTCAATGAAATGCATTTTACTCGATTTTACAACGCATTTCTTGAAATGCCTGTAAACGGTGAAAATTCGACCTCTGACCTGACCTGTGACGTCATCGGTTTGACCGAGGTCAATGAAATTGGGTCACAAGGTAGTTCCCCGTTGGGGCTATCCAACGCCGTTTACCGCTTGTCGCTATGTTGCGTGGTTCTCGAGATCTTAGGGGGGGGGGGGCCAAAATGCCCCCCCCCCCCATCAGACCGCGTTGCTCGGCAGACCCCATCAGGGCGCGGGTTAATCTAAGGAAAGACTACACTCGCTTCGCTCGCTCCATAATGAAGCAGCTTCTCGTGTTCCACGATTTGCCCTTGCCTCAGTTGGCAATAAGTTAAGCAGTCCCGCGCTCTGTTTCAGGTGGTGGAGTACTCGGTGGACGATCGATCCGGGTACGTGGCCGACGTGAGATATGTGGACGGAACAGTGGACACCACCGGGACACGTGGGGGTGGACCTCACGTCAGGCAACCCAAGCATGAAGATCGAAGAGTTGCCAGACCTGCAGATGCCTCTGGCAAGACCAGCAGACCGGATACCTCAGGATATCCTCTGCCAAGACCAGCATATGTTCCCGTCTCCCCAGGCAACTCAGCAAGGTATCAAAACTTCCCAAGTCAAGAACAGCCCCTCCCGCCGAGAAGACCGCCTGAGAACCAGCGGTTTTCGCCGCAGGCACAAGCAAAGCCCCATTTCAGATATAGGCCGTCTTATCGACCAGCAGGGTTCCAGCCTACGGTTGCAGAAAAAGCACCCTACTTCCTGCCGAAATTTCCTCTGCAAAAATCACACTTCAATCTCTATTCGCCGAAAGAAGAACCACACCGAACGACTGAACCAGCGAGCACTTTTCTTACCATAACTGAAAAACCGCTGAGACATTATCAGTCAACACCACCAGTAACATCTCACTCCTCACAGCGGCCAGAACAGTTCCAGCTGGAAGAGGATCGGCCATCTCCTCCGCCTCAGCAGTATCGGTACGGTGAACGTTTGAGGCCAAATCCTAACGAGGGCACAGGACACAGGCTCGTCGAGGTCGGTATCAATAGCCGAGGCCCTTACATCAACATCAGAGGCCAGCCGAAACCCGCATTTGAAGAACGTTTCCCACAGGTGGAAAAACCGCCTCTAGCTCCCTCCCGATTCACTTCAGAGACAAGGGCGGGATTCTTGGAATCGCCTACTCTTGGCCAGAGACATCAGTTAAGTCGACGTCCAGTCCCAACAGAGTCCTTTCACGAGGGTGAACTGACGCCATCACCAGGCTACCGACCAGCGCTCACCGTCCCGCACAAAGGTATAAAACCAACAAGACCAAGTACCCCAGAGTACTACTACCACCAACCACAACAGCACGATCCTTACAATACACCGTATCAACATGATCCATATCTTCCACCATCCGCTTTTACTTCGGTTGCCCCGTTCGAGCCTAGCCCAGTCACCCCTCCCAGCCGAGGGAAGCATGGTGGAAACCCAGAGTACCACGACAACCCAGCGATTTCTGAAGTGGAGCCGGCTTTGGAATTGTACCCACTGACACCCGAATGGGGCAGAAGGATGTCCCATTCCCCACAAGATGAACACACTGAGGATGTGAACAGCCACATGGACTACCACCAGAGCGAGGAAAGCTCAGTGACCGCGCGAGCAAGCGGCTATGATGACCCGAAGTTGAATAACTCTGGGAAAATGTCACCGAAGGATGCTAATAAAACAGTGCTGATTTTCCCGGCTCAGCCACCAAACTTGGATACAATCAGAAGAAGACCTGCCGGATTCTACCCGACACTTCCCCCTGTTACAAAGAAACCCAAAATCTTCCGAACAGGGGTCAGGCATCGATTGCCAAAAGATGGTCGACGCTCCCCTGGATACAGCAGCGCAAGCATTGATGAATCGGACAACGACTGGGGCCAGGATGAGCACTCCCGATGGGAGCCAGATAAGATGGACAAGAAGAACATCTCGCCCTTCGGAACTGCCTTCGGCGGAGGCCAAGAACGTCCCGGGCTCGATCAAGCCACATCGAAGCCGTCGTTCCGTTACTTGCCTACCCTGCCGACTGCCGTGTTTCGAGGGACACCAAGCGAAGTACATGGACAATATGGAAGCAAAAGAACCACAAATCGTCAATCACCTGAGGAGGTCTTCAACAACGTCGAGGCACCCAAGGAACAGCCTAGCACAGAGTATAGAAATCCTACTCGCGACGTCGTGAGTGAGAATGACAAACAGGAGAGCGGGTCGAGAGCAGATGAAGAGTCCAATGCTGCGTCGATTGATCCCAGCAGAACCACAGCTCCTGAAGGTGAGGACCACAGCCACGATACGTCAAGCACGACATTGGTCACGCCCGCTTACGTTACCGCTGCCTCAACATTATCGGAGATATTGGCCAGGAGGCGGTTTGGGGTAACTACTCCAAGACCGGCAATCTTCGCGACCAAACTACACGATGAAGAGAACGACGAGACAGAGGCCCCAAAAGATGTCGCCGATGATGAGGGTGCAAGACATCCTAGCTCGGTGAGGAGGCGCTTTCAGTTTGTCAGGATTTCAAAAGAAAACGACACATCAACAGGCGGCCCGGAACAAAAGCGAAACACAAGGAGAGATGACGAAAATGTAATTCCTGATTCAGAGGGTGTAAACAAACAAGCGATTAAAGATGGACCATTCAAATCTGAATTTTCAGAAGCCAACCGCTCCGGACAAAACACCTTTATTGCACTCCCTAAACCTGAGACCACACAACACCAAAGTGTCAGGAAAGGGAAAAGAAAGGGAAAGGAATTAGCATTTGGCGCACTGGGCAATTCTATGGGAAACAGTCTAAATGAAACAATATACACGACCTTGAATCAGACTGCGGTAACACCCAAAAAGAATAGTCGAAGCAAGTCGCTGTCAATTCAAAATAAGAACGGGACGCTGCATAACAACCGCAGTCCGAGCCATCCACGTCACAACGGCTCACCGAGAATCTTAGTTGACCGACGGGTTTCAGCCAGACCTTCCTCTTTCCGAACCCGGAGGCCTAGACCTCGCCTCACCACCACCACCACCTCACCAAATGTTTCGAGCGGGCCAAACACCACCGTAATCTTCTCACAGGTCACCCCTTTTCCCAACACCACCCAGCTTCAGCCTACCGATGGGCCCAAAGAAGGGGTCAGTGCCACCACCTATAGGCCAGAGTTCTCAGAGTACATGCGTCGATTCAGTTCCACAACGCCACCCTCTGTAGGAGAGCAAGAGCGTGGGGCGGTGTCTTCTCACGAGGGGCAGGGAGGGGATGCTATCGTGAAAACAGGAGCAGAACAGGGCGAGGAGGTAGTGGAGTCAGTAAATCGTGGAAGAAATGAAGAAAAACCGGAGTCGATGTTTACCAATGCCCCGGAGCCTGGTTGGCCCAGATATGAAGCGACAGGCATGCGACTTATGCCACCACCGTTAGAGAGTGCAGCAAACATTTCGAGTAGGTATCACTCGACAAAGATCAATTCCACTTCGAGCACCGCTGTACCTGAAACTGGGCACGAAGAGTCAGCCTATAACCCAGCATCTGAAGTTGTGAGGATTTCGACACAATCACCATTCTCTCCCATCGGTAGAGCATCAACACCATCACCTTTATCACAGCCCCACGTGCCGCTTCACTTTGATGGCATAACGACTGATAGAACTAACACAGCCTCAAAATCAGACACTGAACAACCTACAGAAACTGGCGCCTTTTCCGGTCGAACACTGCGCCTTCCAGTGAATCGTCAACGCCTACTCTGGCACCCAGTCTCACGGGGATCGTCCAGATTCGTTCGTCCTCCTATCCGAAGCCGTGCTCACTTCCCACACGAACGAAGGCCAGCCACTGCGCGGCCCTGCTGCCCCAGGAGGCCAATGGAGGTTAGTCAGATCGTGGCTCCACTTTCCAGCCTGTTCGGTAAGAGGCTGGGCAGACTGCAAGGTGGGGAATCCACGGGAATGGCACCAGAAGTGGACCGACGTCGACTCGAAAGACTGAGGATTGTCAGAAGACGAGGAAAGGTGATGGCGCAAAGAATGGACCGTCTGGGGCGAAAAGATCGAAGTAAGAAGCAGATGGGCAAAAGGAAAAACCAGGGTCGAGTAATGAAGGCTAAGAACGGAGTCAGGCCTGGTGATATTGCAGGAAGCAAGGCTCGACCAGACAAGTCCCATTCGGCATTAGTCAACGAGCGAAAAGGTTTTGGATACAAAATACAGCCACCTCGCTCCGACGAGAGAAGCCCTTCCTCGTCCTCACTGAAACACCAACAGACACAAGGCAACAAAAGGACGGGCCAGGACAGCACCCAGGGTGAGGGCCAGCGCTCAACCCAAAGGGCGCGGCGACTGCGCTGGCCTGGGGCCACAGCGGGTTACATTCAGAGCGTGCATTTCTTCCGTTCACTCCTACCCCTCTTCTTTGGCAGCGATTCCAGCGCTCGTAAGCAGTCAGCAACGAAGTTAGACCGTTGAATGTTGTTTGTTTTTGTGTGATTAATGATTATGCAAAGGTGGCCACTGGGTTTAAGCGTTGATAGTGAAAGAATGTTGAATGATGATGTCAGTTGTAAAGCATTGTAAAGCATTATCATTAGTAGCATTGGGCAGCTATGCATGTCGTACAGGTTGTCGAAGAAATAAAATCACCAGGTGAAAACGCTTGATTTGATGTCACATATATTGCCGCAATACATTGCAAAAAGAGATACTGAGGTAGCCAAACGGCGTTTACAAAAGGGAATGTGCAATGACGGGACGCGGATAAATACTAGAAAACGTACGCTACTCCGTGACGAACAAGGTGGCCAACGGCTAAGACAAAAACCGTAGTTCACACCACCGAGTTGCAAGACGGAGTAGCTGGGAGACGGAGAATGAACGACGTTGAACGAATGCGAAGAGTGGCATGTTTAGATTATTGTCACGTTAAAAAATGTTTTGCAGGATCCTTGGCCCTCCCCCTCGCCCCCCCCCCCCCCCCCGCCCAGATGAGATATGGCATGAGATGAAACATCAACCGGTATCGGTGCGCAAAAAAAACATCAAAAATTATCACACCTTAGTTTGCAGTGCTATGCCGCCTGAGCTTCAAGCGAGCTCAGCCCTTAGGGGACTATCAGATGACCTTCAGTTACCGATGATTTGGAATGATGAATTGCGGTGAACGGAAGCGACGTGTTTTCTCGTCCTGTCTTATCTACCGCGCTTGAACTTTCCTCCGCTACCTCGCGCCTTCTTACTGCCCGAGTTCTTTTTCTCCTCCAGCTGAAATAAAGGATAGCCTCAGCGATATCCAGCGATGTCTAAATCTAAGTCAGATTCGATTGTTCGGGAAGCAATACACCCATTGGTTTAACCCTATTAGTGGCAGGCTCCTGGCTACCCCATATTAGTGGCAGGGGGGGGGGGCTGTTTACGACCCCCCCTTGATATCTCGAGATCTAACCGGCCGATTTTCAAAATTCAAACGGCATTCGGTTTGGCTCAACGAGATCTACATTTCTAAAAAAAAAAAAAATTAAAAAATGTCAATAGGGGGGTAGAGGGGGGTAAAAACGGGCAAATTGCAGATACATTTTAGACTGTTTATCACGGCCAGGTTTCTGAACCAATCTTAACGCAACTTTTGCCGATCGATAGAGAATGAACCAGGAATTCACATGGATCCTAAAAATATGCATTTTCAAAAATCATAGGCGGATACAGATCATTGAGATTGGGGGTACACAAAAAGTATAGTAAATAAGGTTTTTGTTGGTACTGTTTCTAAAAAGGGTGGCAATGGTCTTGTTATGTTACAATTTTCTTATGAGAGAACGACTAAAATTGTATTGGTCATGCATAGGCGGTGTCAGGGCACCTATGTTGGGAGGTAAAAAATAACCCCCCTTTTTGGACGCCTGGATCCGCCTATTATAGCAAAAACGTGTCAAAAGAGGATGCACAATAACTTTGT